GTGGTACCCTGTAGTTCTCAGTGGTACCCTGTAGTTCTCAGTGGTACTCTGTAGTTCTCTCTCACTGTTCAAAACTTGTCTGAAAATCATTTCTTTAAATTAACCCATCCTTCTTAATTTACTCATGTATTTGATTTTATTGTATTTTTTAACTCTTATTACCCTATTTTTTCTGCTGTATGATTGATTCAACTGTAGATGATCCTGAAACCGCTTTTTAAATACAATGTGGTGGTGTTGTTGTTGCTGTTGTTGTTGTTGTTGCTGTTGTTGTTGTATAAGATAAGATAAAACTTTATTGATCCTGCAGGAATAATATAGTAGTAGTTTTTAGTAGTTCTCAGTAGCCTCCTGACTACCAGCAGTTCAAATTTGTTCTCCTTGGAGGACATTTGTAAACCTGAATATCTCCCACCCACAGCACAGTACTGAATTAACTCCTTTTGCTCTCTACAGAGGACGTTTGGGGCTTTTCAGTTATGCCAAATATGAAAGAGTGGGCTTTGGTACCTCTTCCTCATGAATAATAAAATATTGGACATGGACAATATTTATTTTTCCTGGTAGTCAGGAGGGTAGTACTATTTCTGTACTGGGTGTTTTATAAGAAAATTGAAAATGAACTAAGTGAAATGTCACCCTCGGAAACAATTTTTGTTTTCTTTTTGACCAATCACAGTGCCTGCAGACGTGGTACCATGAAGGCCCCGCCTCCCTGAAGGAAGCTCGACTCTGGTTGGCTAGATACTCTCTGCCTCTGTAAGTCAGGAAACACTCTGAGGCAGTCTATAGTGAAACTTTTTACTCTGTGGAAACAGAAAATAACAGTGACGTGCGGTCAGGGGAGGCAGCTGAGGCAGTGCCGCACCTGTGATCATGACAAGTAAAATACTAACAATAAGAGAAAATACATTTGACCACTTGACTGTTCCATATGACTGTTTTATAAAACTGTTTTCCAAATTATTCCGACACTTCAAAGGTCAGAATTGCAGAATATACACATTGCCTGTTCAAACGCATGGAAGAAATGCGCTTGGTGAAGCGGTGTAGTGCTCTGGTTCACCTCTGGGGGCGCTGTGTCATATACAGTATATGAAGTAGGCGGTTGGAGCATGCCCATTGCTGTCTCACTGTATATTGCCAATATACCTGTTTGATTACACATGATGATGGGACAAAGGAGCAGGTGCAGTCTCTGTGTGTTCTGTTACACAGAGGGGCGGGGTTGTAGCAAATCTGTACACTTGTTTAAATTTGTTTAGACAAAATAGAAGATCATATCTCAAAACTAAAAGATTTGTCTAAACTCATCATTTTTCCAAACTCATTCATAAAATAAAATAAAGGTAAGAGAATACATGTTATTTATTTATTTAAAAAGAGAGGAGTATGGAGTTGATTAACGTATAATTAGATGCCTTAAAAAAGGATTAATTGAATTGTGAGCTTCTATTTTGGGTTTATATATATGTGAGCATCTGATTCCAGACGAGTCAGCCTCACCCGTCACAAACCTCACTGCACGCCACTGGAAAAGAACACACCTCAGATACTTTTTCTCAGCTGTTTGCTGCTATAAGGTCAAATATTCATTTTTCCAACACATTTACTTATAATTAGTCATTCAATAACTGTGTATGGGAGAATATGTGGGGCTTAGACTCTGGCTTTAAAAATACAACATGGCAGTACCTGTAAACCAAATTCTACTGGCTTCATTTTTATTCTAAGAAGGGGTCAGAGATGCTTTATCAATCTTTTATGTCTATGGTTAGGATTGTTCATTCGGTTGTCATAAAGATGATTATATTAGTTTATGTGTATTTTGTGTGGGAGTGATTGTACATATGTTGGAGAAGGTAAATCTGTGATCAGGAAGTCACAGGTTCGAATCCACAGGCGGTTACAACAAAAATGTGGTGTGGAAGGTAAAGCACCACATCTTCCTCCACACTCGTTCGTCCCACTCTGGGCCCCTGAGCTTGGCCCTCAAACCTCCCCCCCACTAACTTCACCTCAGGCGCCCTTGAAGGCAGCTCGGTGTCAGTGGTTGTACGAAAGGTCACTTGCTGTGGTGACCCCTGAAGAAGGGAGCAGCCAAACGAAAAAAAATGCTGTGAAGTTTATTGATAAAATGTATTTTATTTATAAAATGTCTGTGTTTACTTCTGATCAGCTGTGATCTGTCTGTGTTTAGATGATGTGGATCAGCTGTTGTTCTTCACTTGTTTTGTGAGGTGTGTTGTGAAAAATAATTTTAGGAGCATGTTTTGTTCTTTTGTTGTGTTATTCTGATCTTATCCACAGGATGACTCCTTGAATTTCAGAGGGAGGTGATCAATGTTTAAATGGGTTTCTGAGAAAAAGTCAATTGAAATGATTAACGGTTTCTGCTTCTTCAGGCCCAAATGTCAGAAGTCCTGACATACTCATATCATCACAGTCCCTGTGACCCACATCTTTAATCTCTCCATAAGACAAAACTCCATCCCAGACACTTGTAAAACAGCCTTTGTTCTTCCTTTGCTGAAGGGAGGTGACCCCACCTCACTGAACAACTATCGACCAATCTCTAAACTCTGCATTTTAGCCAAGGTTCTAGAAAAACTGATAAACTCTTAAATCAAAAATTACCTGGACTCATTTAACATCTTACCTCCACATCAATCTGGTTTCAGGAAACAACACAGCACAACCACTGCTTCACTGAAGGTTCTTAATGATGTTGTTGAAGCACTGGATGCTAAGGATTATTGTGCTGCACTTTTCTTAGACCTGTCTAAAGCTTTTGACACTGTGGATCATAACATCTTGTGTCATAAGCTCTCAGAAATTGGTTTCTCAGATCACACCATTGGTTGGTTCTCTAACTATCTTTCAGACCGGAGGCAATGTGTTCAACATAATGGTACTTCCTCCAGTTATTTAACATTCAACAATGGTGTACCACAAGGCTCAGTCTTAGGACCCACCCTCTTTACAATCTACATACATAATGTAGGTAAAAACATCCCTGATGCATCCATACATTTCTATGCTGATGACACAGTTGTTTATTGTCGAGCTAAAACAGTTGCTAAGGCTTTCCAGCTTTTGAAATCTGCATTTAACATCATCCAGACTGATTTGTTCCGCCTCAAACTTGTCCTAAATGCCGAAAAAACCAAAGGGATGCTCTTTTCAAATAGGAAGTTGGTCCCAGCAGTTCTTCCTCCGATTTTATCCTCAAATGGTGTCCCCATTGAGTTTGTTGATGCCTATAAATATTTGGGTATCTTGGTCGACTCGCATCTTTCTTTTAAGCTCCATGTGGAAAACTTGGTAAAGAAACTGAAAGTTAAACTGGGTTTCTTTTTCAGAAACAGATCCTGTCTAACCCTGAATGCTAGAAAACGCCTTGTATCTGTGACTTTCCTTCCCTCAATTGATTTTGGTGATATTATTTACATGAACGCATGGTGCACTAAGATTCATAACTGGCTGTGATTATCGTACCCACCACTGCACACTGTATTCACTGGTTAACTGGACATCATTAACTTCACGCAGACTCTCTCACGGTACATTTTCATCTTTAAATCACTTCTTGGTCTGCTGCCTTCATACATCTCCTCCTACATGTCTCTGCGTGAGTGCAGCTATGGAGTGCGCTCTCAGAACATTATTACCTGCAGTGTTCCCTCAGTGAGGACTGAACTTGGCAAAAGGGCCTTCTCCTACTCTGCTCCTGTTTCCTGGAATATCTTACAAAAAGATTTGAAGCTCTCGACCTTGACCTCTCTAAGTGGCTTTAAGAATCTGTTGGACTCCTGGCAGGGTCCAATGCAGACATGTTCCTGTTTTTAGTTTTCTACATTTGTCTTGGAATCTAGCTGTTTTTTGTTTTGTTACCTTTTTCCTTTTAGCCATCCTATTTGTTTAAAAAAAAACAAAAACAACTGTAGTATGAGTTTTTATAACTGCTTATTGTTGTTGCTGTTGTCCATTGTTGTCATCTTTCTTTGTTGAAATCAGGTCTCTCTTGTAAATGAGTCCTCGAGGCTCAATGGGATTTACCTGTATAAATAAAGGTTGATTGATACTGCACACAATAAACAGACCGATTCTGGTTTTAACTCATTCTTATCGAAACAGGACTGATAAATATTATTTCTATTTACACAGGATAGATCCAGATGTAAAGAAAATCCAGCTTAATTTTTATTTCACTAAATAAAGTGTAAAGTGAAGACTTTATATTTTTCTGGTCACATGACTGAACAATTGATACAAACTCAGAAACCCTTTAATTTCAGACTCTAGGACTTTCTTTAAAGCTTTTCATGTAATGATATGTGCTCCTGCTGTGATTGGTCCATCAGAGCCACGAAGCGTCTGGAAGCTGCACGCGCTCAGAAGGATGTTCCTGATGCGACCAGGACGATCCGCCAACAGGAGCTGCATAAGACCCTGAGGGTGAGGCGATTCATCAACACACTTACGTTTGACTGAACCAAAACCAACTCATCGTTGCCAACAACACAACCAGCAGTGACATTAGCTGGGCTGCACGGAGGTTTAGTGGTTAGTGTTGTCTCACAGCAAGAAGGTCCTGGGTTTAAATCCCTGGTTTGAACCTGGGGTCTTCTTGTGTGGAGCTTACATGTTCTCGTGTTAGTCTGGGTTTTCTGTAGCTTCCTCCCACAGTCCGTGTACGTTAGTGTGCCTTCAGGCCCAGGTGACTTGATGCTGACGTCTGTGACCTCAGTGGATTTGTCTGGTTAAATAAATGTTAAAACATTTAACTGTAGTGTCAAAGGTCAAGATTTTTCAAACTGTTTTCAATCTAATCAAATGTTTTATGATTGTTTCAAATAACACCAAAACTGTGTGCTTTGAGTTTCAAACAGTTCTCGCTCTCTGACTCTTAGGAATGTAATTATATGTTTATTAGGGATGCACCGATCCACTTTTTTTTACTTCCGCTCCCAATACCTACATCTGGATATCAGCCGATACTATTCTGATATCATACTCATAATTGATTTTATGAGGCTGTAATAATCTCCTCTCGACTACAATTTGTACAAATGCATGCATGCATGTCCAAAAAGGCAACTTGAGGTAAGTTTTATTAATGTTGGATAAGTTCTAAAGTTAGAATTAAATCCTGCTAACACAAAACATTTTTTTTTTAAATTCCTAGCTTTAAAGTGGATATTAAAGTGAATAAATGGCTTCAAACATCTGCTAAGTTCATGGCATAAACCAACACAGACATGTTCCTGTTTTTAGTATTTTACATCACTTTATAATGTAGCTGTTTTTGTTTCTTTTTTTTATACAGATATAATTTTCTTTTATTTTTCAGTTCATATTCTTTTTTTATGATTGTCAGTTCAGTTCAGTTTATTTGTACAGCGCCAAGTCACAACAGAAGTCATTTCAGGGCACTGTACAGAAACATTCACATATTAAAATAATAATTTACGACTATTTATCTGAGCATACTGCTTTGAATTTAACTCCATCACAGAACTCTCATCTTGAGCTGATAAATGTCTCCTGGAGGGTAAATGTAAACTATGTCTTGGCTGCAAGTATTCAATCAAGCTGCGGAGCAGACAGTCTGATTTCAGTCAGCCACGCTCAGTCTGCTGCTCCGAGACGAGCAGACTGAGCGTGGCTGACTGAAATCAGACTGTCTGCTCGGGATTGAACGAGAGAAACGCACAGATGAAGCCACGGATGGAGCTCAAACGTCCAACCTAAAACTAACTTTACCGCTGTGCCTGGCTAAACAATAATCGTGCGCTTTAATGTGGTGCTTTTTCA